GTTCCAACAGCCGGAAATTTTCTCTCTTTATCCTAATGAAAATTTTCATTACAGCCTTTAAAAATAACTTTCTGAGAGCCATGTTCAGGAAAAAACATATATTGTAAAATGATTCAAGCCTTGTACAAACAGAAGTAAGTAAACATATCATGGTGTTTCAGAATGATGCAAAACAATAGGGCAGAGTTGCCAATGGTCCAGGTTGGGAATGCACCTGTGTCATATCCAGGTAGCACCTTCCACGTGCCTCACCTCCTTCTACCACCAAATTTACCCCAGGACCATTATAGGTGTTCAAAAGGTGACTCTAAAATTCGTTGGGGTATGGACGACCCCTTTGAGAATTTTAGGAAAGGTATTCATCACTTTGTTCAGTCATTATAATGCTTACAACATACATAGAACTAGTACAACTCTAGCATGTTTGTGGATCCGCTAGAGCTTGGAGACCCTGGGCTCTAGGTTAGGAACCTGTGTACCATAGGGTTCTTGGGAGTGTAGTGAAGGCTTCAATGGATTCCTGTGCTCCAAAACCAACATTTGTAATCCCTTAGGAATTCAGTGGTGAAAATACTCTTTCCTCAGTTCATTTTATTTTATTTAGATACAAATAAAATAACATACTATTATTGATGAATACAACCACTTTTATGTCACTGTGTTGTGCTATGGAGGCTAGCATGTTCCTGTGATGCCGGCAACTATGCCAAAAGTATTTCAAATACCAGCAGGTTCACCCCAAGTGGACAGGTTTCAGAGGACCTACTAGACTACGAAGGATCAGGCTACCTACTTCTAAATATAATTGTCCAGGAATAATCTTATGCATAGCTGTGGAACAATGTGTGATATAGTTCCAGAAGATGAACCCCTCAGGTTGGAAAGCATTCACAATACTACTGGAGAGGAACTGCCTCCTCAAAATGGAGTCAAAACCTTAAAGACAAGGATGGAGCAAAGATTACTGCGTTTTCATTTGCTGATGACACATGATTGGAAATAAAAAATTAAAAAAAAATTAGCTGCAAACATTGATTAATGTTTGTAACATGGACTTTACAAAGTGCGAATTTAGGACATTGGAAGTAATCAAAAATTCAATGTAACAGGTATAGAGAGCTATGCAGGCATTGGGGAGCTGAGATAAACTGGCATTGGCCATTTGTAATCAGACAATTATGTTACTATTCTAGAAATGTCAAATTGAAGAGGACTAGTGGCACAGTTATCATTAAAAAGAACAGTTCTGTATCTATCCTGAAACACAATTCTGTCATTGATAGAATCATATCCATACAGCTGTAAGGAAAACCACTTAATACAAGCATGCATTACCAGAAGAACAAACTAATTGGTCTTGGAAAAAAACAGTCAAAATGTTCTTTAGAAGACAGAATGAAGTTTGACCAAGTTATATCACATGTTTGGACATGTTGTTCGGAGTGAGCAGTCCCTGGAGAAGAACATCATGCTTGGTAAAGTGGAGGGTCAGTAAAAAGGAGGAAGACACCCCCCCCCTGCCCCAATGAAGTAGCCTGGCACCATGGCTGGAACAAGGGTCTCAAGCATAGAAGGGTTGTGAGGATGGCGCACATCAGGTGGCTATGAGTAGGGACCACCTCAACAGCTGCTAATATTCACAAAATTGATTAGATTACCCCCCCCAAAAAATTATATATTGGAGTGTAACCCCTATACCTATGCATGTCACCCTAGTTTGAAATTAGGTTGTCTTTGCTGTCTCTTTCATTGGATCTTACCCTGTTAGGGTGAGCTCTAGATCTAATCACTTCTGAGTTATAAAAAGAGCATTGTTAGATACAGAAATGCTTATATACACCAAGGAACACAAATGCTATGTGAGGCTCCTCACAAAATGTCTGTAGCTATGGACAAGGGAGGAATTGACAGGACTGTGACCCTGGTTTGGACTTTAGCCTCCAGAATTCTGAGAAAATACATTTTTATTCTTTAAAGCCATTCACTCAGGATATTTCTACTACTACGACATTTGATAACTAAGACAATACAAGGGGGCCTTAAACAGTCATGGTTAAAATGGAATGAAAAATCATGGAGTTTTTCCATGAACTTTTTGAAGCCCCTCATATATTTTTGTCCATAATGTATTATTTTAGAGACACAGAAAATAATGTTAACAAAGGCTTTGCAGTATAAAAAATATACTTTGTTTAGACATTGAATTGCTAACGTTCTGAGTAAAAATTTACATTTACTGCCCGCACTCAACCATGTTTACAAAAAATGCCAAAAGACAGAGAACACTCTAGAAGGGAATGTGATGAGACAGTTACAGTGGCTCGCTCTGAAATAAAGGGCTATCTCTGGAAGGAAGGGTTATGGGTAATTTTGATATCCTCCCTTATTTCTTGATTTGATCTCACCAATCTCTGGGCTCTGAAAATTCTCATCCAGATAGTCTCAGTGTTTCTACAAGGTGCCTCATCTGAGTGTGCATGCTGATGTGTGGAGCGAGGGAAGAAGATGGTCCAAAACCAGGCCCAAGAGTAGACTGGAAGGATCTGCTCCAATCCTCACATTTGCTTGGAGATGCAGGAGAAAATTATGGTTGACCGAGTCTCAGTGACTCTGTGGAGGAATATACAAAGCTTGCATGTTCTGGTGCCCGCTCTGAACCCTAGGGCCCCTTGGACACACTTCTGTCTCTGATGACCCCATCAGAACCCACACTGATGGGCTGGAGACTTGGCATAAGGAAAACATGGTAGCACCAACTCTGTGCTTCAACTCATAGGACAGTCACACGCTGCTGACTGAAGAAAAAAGGGCATGGCTTCCTTACTCATTGAGACCCCAAAGTCTTCCACAGAATTTCAAAATCGCTAAATTCTCCCCAATTCCTTCCTACTTAACGCACAGGGGATGGACAAGTGTGAAAATCATCACCCATTCTTAGTGTCAAATGCCTGACCTTGGAGGGGCCACAGACACATGAACCAAGTGAGGACTTATTTCTGGATCCCAATTAACCCCTAAACCATTCTGCTTTGAATACCCTCATTGGTCTTCCTTCTTGAAGAAGGGCTCTGCAAAGCCAACCACTGCTCTGTAAATGCATCCAAGCTTACCAAGACCAGATAGCGTTGACATTGGGCTGAGCCAACCTCTATGACTCCATCACATTTCCCGTCATTTATGGACTGGAATCCTTGTATCACCAGAATAGCAAAACACGTTATATGTAGAGAATACATGATTGGACATTAACAAATCAGAAGACAGATAAGCAGACAGAATGAGTCTCCTGTTGGAAGAACATGTCACCAAATATGATATGGTAGTGGTTGTGTGCCATTGAGTTGGTTCCAAATCATAGTGACCCTGTGCAGGGTTTCTGAGGCTGTAAATCTTTATGGAAACAGAAATCTACATCTTTCTTCCAAGAAGTAGCTGGTAGATTCGAACTGCTGACCCTGAAGTTAGCAGCATAACATGTATCCCATTATGCTACCTACACTCCTTCGAATATGATGTAGACAAAGGAACATACAAAAATGAATCTGTATGTGATCACATCTGTATCCCCAACTACCAAATGACAAAAATGACAGAGAAAAGAGGCCCGTGTCAGGGACCACCAACAGGATGTCATTCACAAAATACTAAAAGTAACCAAGAGCTCTTTGGGGTCGTCAATAAAGTACCTACTCCTGTTTCTGCACCAAACAAATTGAATAGAAAAATAAGCCAGGTAAAGATAGACCATGCAGAGTCAAATAGGAGGAAGTCATCTCAACTAGTGGTAAACTATGGCTTTATTTGAATTCTGTTTCTAACAAACCAATCAAACCAGTTCTAACGTTGATGAGGCATCTGGGAATTGAAACTCTAACTGAAAGTGTAATGGAATACTTGTTCATTTTCCAGGTGTCTTCATGGTATGGTTGTTGTTTTATTCAGTGCTGTCAAGTTGGTTCCGACCCATAGCGATCCTGTGTAGGATTTCCAAGGAGCGGCTGGTGAACTTGAACCGCCAACCTTGTGATTTAGAATGACTTTGCAGTACAGTGCATTAACCCACAGCACCACACCAGGACTCCAATGGTATGGTTGTTGTTGTTGTTAAATGTTGTCGAGTCGGTTCCGACCCATAGCTATCCTGTATAGGGTTCCCCACAAAGTGGCTGGTGAGCTTGAACTGCTGACCTTGCAGTTCAAACAGCTTTGCAGTCTGATGCATTAACTCACAGCGCCACACCAGGACTCCCAATGGCAAGGGAGTTGTATTTTTAAAAATAAGAGAAGACTCCTTATCTTTTAAAGATGTCTGTGAAACATTTACACGTTTGGAATTTGCTTCAAAATTTTATGAGGGCTTAAGTTGATCATTGTTGAAGTTGATGGATGGGGACATACAAGGATTCTTTATTTTTGTGCAGGTTTGGAATTCACTATCAAGATAAAATTTAGAAAACAAACAGACACATTGCCTAGGTGGGTAATTTCCCACCCAAGGTGAGCCCAAAAGCTAGAGGAGGAGGAAAGAATGACAGATTCCTATCTAGAAGGTGACAGCGTCCAGGGAGAGAACTCTGTAGTAGAATCGTGCTTGTCCAAACTAAGCCAGTGAAATCTTGCCATCTGGTTCATTCTTTCTTCTGGCATCCACAGTATATTCACTATTCTTTGACAGCACAATTTGAATGTATCATTTCTCCTGTGTTCTTTACTCATTGTTCAGAATAGGAACTAACTGAGAAATTAGTACTCAAAGTGACATCTTTGCGATAAATCTAGGCATGTGAGCATGTGGCACTGTAGGTTAATGCATCAGACTGCAAAGTCATTTGAACCACTAGGTCAGTGTTTCAAGCTCACCAGCTGCTCCTTGGAAACCCTATGGGTTGGAATTGACTCGAAGGCACTTAACAACAACAATAAAGCAGTGGCTGGGACACCGCTGGTCACGTGGCATGGCTGGACTCCAGCCCCACCCCTCATGTCTCTTTGCTCTCCAGGTGGTCCATCGGGAACTGGAGTGCTTGCAGCCGGACCTGCGGCAGCGGAACGCAGAGCCGGCCCATCCAGTGCATGCAGAGGGCCCGCTACAGAGAGGAGCTGGTCATGGCCAGCCTGTGTCCCCAGCCTATGCCCGCCAGCAGACAGGCCTGCAACTCCCAGAGCTGCCCGCCTGCCTGGAGTGCTGGGCCCTGGGCCGAGGTAAGTCACATGGGCAGGTGACATGCAGATGACAGCAGGGCCCCTTGAGTGGGATGCAAAGCGAGATTCTTTCTGGCTGTTACCATGTGGGGGGCATGGGCTAATCCGTGCAGCTGACTCCTCTTTCTGCCTGTGCAGTGCTCCCGAACCTGTGGGAAAGGATGGAGGAAGCGGTCCGTGGCCTGTAAGAGCACCAATCCATCCTCCAGGGCACAACTTCTGCCTGATGCAGTCTGCACCTCAGAGCCAAAACCCAGGACCCAGGAGGCCTGTCTGCAGAAACGCTGCCACAGACATAAGAAACTGCAGTGGCTGGTGTCTGCCTGGTCCCAGGTAGGTGTGGCTGGTCCCAGGAAGAGGCACCTGTTCACAGGTAGCTGCTTCTGGTTGGAGGGTGTTGCATCTGGTCCCAAGTAAGTTGTAAATTGGCACACCTGGTTTAGTTGGACTAGGCTGATGCTCCTAGACCCAGATAGGAGCTTTATTGTTTATTGGTAGACCCAGGTAGATGCATCTGATCTCAGGTAGATGTTGGTCTAAGGTGGATGCTCCTGGTGTAGATACAAGACAACACCTCGTGTTTCCCTGGTTTTATATCTGGTTCCTTCTCCTCTTCCTCAAACCACTACGTCTTCTGCACCAGTTAAGTTTCTGGTCCCTCCAGATCCAGACCACCCTTCTGGGCCCAGTGCACCTCAGGCATCCCTCTCGTCTCCTGAGCTTTGGGCTCATGCCTGTGGCGCTACTGGCCCCAGGGTCCACATCACTCAGAACTGAGCAGAGGTGCCGGGTGGGTGTTCCGAGTGTGAGAGCAGGCTGCAGGCCTCCACACTGCCAGCTGGCCATGAGACGGTTAACTCTGGACATTACTACTTCAGAGCAGGAGGGGGTGACTTACTCTGGAAAGTGGCACCCACATCCTGAGAAGAGAAGAGTGGTTTTGACATCCTCAGTAGCAGCCCCCATGCTGGGCATGGACTGCCCAGAGGTGCTATGATGGAGTCACACTGGGACATGTGTATGGAGAAGGAAATGCCCTGCGTCCTGTCACATGGGCTATGTGTTCACCCAAGTGGAACCCCCTGGTATTGCCCTGGGCCCTGTCCAGCCTCCACAGTGGACAGTCCCAAGGGCAGTGGCAGCCCCTGGTCACTACTGCAGCTAGCACGGCACAGAAGCACAAAGAGATGTTGTCGAGTTCACCCCAACTCCTGGTGACCCTCCCACGGAACCAAGTTGAACTGTGCTCTATAAGGTTTGCTATCAACAGAGATTGCCTATCTTTTTCAGACATAGATTACTGAGTCTTTCTTCTGTGACACTCTGGGTGGGTTTGGATTTCCACCCTTAGTCTTCTCCCAAGGAATCCCCTCCCAGGAACTGTCTTCACAATGGGCAGCTTCAGCTTCTGTTTGGCCTACTGAGCAGGAACGGTTCAGGCTCAGAGAGGCCTTAGAGACCCATGGCCTTGCTCTCTGGGGTAGTCACCATGTATTCATGTCCAGCACTCAGCTCTGAGAAGACCTTGTGCATCTCCGGTTCCTCGTCTGGCTCTAGAGGCTAGTAACTCATCTACAGGTGGCCGTCTCCATGGGCTGAGCATTTTGCTAGTGGCCTGTCATCCCATCCTGCAGTCTGGTGAGAGGGTTAGAATCAGAGCCTTCATTGCAAGACTGCACCCCCTGTATTATGCCCCACAATGCTTTGCCACTTGGACCTCAACATCTTCTTTTGTTTTGTTTTCGTTTTTAAGATAAACTCAAAAGCCCATCACCTCTAAGTGATTCTGACTCATCACAACCCTGTGGTGATGGTGTGAAGTGTCACTGAGTTAATTCTAACACACAGCAATCCTGTATAGGGTTTCCAAAGGGCAGCTGGTAGGTTTGAACGGTCGAGCTTGCATTAGCAGTCCAATGCTTATCCTACAGTGCACCACACCAGGACCCCCAGCAGCCCTATAAGACAGGGCAGAACTGGCCCCAAAGGTTTCCAAGGCTGTAAATCTTTATGGAAGCAGACTGCCACATTGTCCTTCCAGAGACCGGCTGCTGAGGTCACACCGATGACCTCTTGGTTAGCACTGATGATGGAACTATTGCATCACCAAAGGTCATTTAAGACAGACACTACAATGTTTTATATTGAGCGCCTACTGTCTTCACTAAGGAGCTCTGGTAGTGTAGTGGTTATGAATCGGCCTGCGAGCCTCAAGGTCAGCAGTTCGAAACTACCAGTTGTTCCATGGGAGAAAGATGAGGCTTTCTGCTCCCGTAAAGATTTACAGCCTTGGAAACCCTGTACAGGGTCACTATGGGTCAGAACCGACTCCACGGCACATAACCACCACCACCACTGTCTTCACTAGAGCCCTGGTATGGCGCTGTAAGATAAGCACCAGATGGTTAACCACAAGTTTGGTGGTTCAAACCTACCCGCTGTTCCTCAAAGACCCTATGCAGGGTCACTATGAGTCAGAACCGACTCCACGGCACATAACCACCACCACCACTGTTTTCACTAGAGCCCTGGTATGGCGCTGTAAGAGAAGCACCAGATGGTTAACCACAAGTTTGGTGGTTCAAACCTACCCGCTGTTCCTCAAAGACCCTATGCAGGGTCGCTATGTGTCAGAATCGACTAGGCAGCAATTAACAATACCAACAACAGACTATACTGGAGTCCTGGTGTGGCGCTGTAGGATAAGCACTGGACTGCAAACTCTAAGATCGGCAGTTCAAACTTACCAGCTGCTCCTTGGAAATACTATAAAGAGTTGCTCTGAGTTGGAACCAACTTCAGGGCACTTAACAGCAAAAACTGTCTATGCTGTCAAGAAAGGTAAAACGTTTCAGCTCCAAGATGTTTCAATCAATAGAGGTGACCACGAGCGGTGAATTATTTTCCACCCTGTTTCTTGCTTTCTTTTTCAGTGCTCAGCTACATGTGACAGAGGAATACAGACACGGTTCCTGAGATGCGCTGAGAAGTTTGTTTCTGGGAAGTACCGAGAACTGGCCTCCAAAAAGTGCTGGCATCTGCCCAAGCCTGAGCTGGCGCTGGAGCGAGTCTGCATCCTGTCTTCCTGCCCCAAGTACCCACTCTACTCCGCCTCAGATCCCCCACGGGTCACCTGGGTCACCTCGCCCTGGTCTCAGGTAATGGGCTCTGAACATGTCACAGAGGGGGTAGGTCTAATGTTATTGTGAGGAGACATCTGCAGGACTCCATCCTCAAAGCTGTCTCAGCAGACTCGAGACCCTGCTCGACATTGTGTTCCGTGTCTGTGTCCCTGGAGATGGGGTCCACTCTTGAGGCCAGACATGTCTCACTCTAAAGTGTCATCTGTTTGGGTGTAGAAACATGTAGCCTGCTTGGTTATTGGGCCAGAATTCCCCAGATACACAAATGAGTGGAGAAGAAATAAGAGATCCAGAACAAGTCAGTGACTCAAAGTTCACAGCTGATAACCGCAGCCCTGCCTCCCTCCCTGCCCCCATCTCCCTCCAGTCTATGAGGAAGAACTCAGCCATCCTGACCCACCCATGTTCCTGCTATAAAGCTCGAGACCTTCGAGTGTGACCACTGGTCCTCACTGCATCTCTAATCTTCAGGTCTGTTGTTCTAGACCCTTCCCCAGTGCCCACCACAGAACCCAATCCACACTAGCCCTTCAAGTTACTCTTGCTATGAGAGAGGTGAAGGAAAACCACACCCTGGGAGTGAAATAAAACAGGTATTTCACAGCCTCATCTTAGAGCCCTAGCCTCACCAGGTGCAAACCATCAGGGCAAGTTCCTGCTGTCTGTGGATTTGGTAAGGAGTTCTGGTAGCGTAGTGGTTATGAATCGGGCTGTGAGCCGCAAGGTCAGCAGTTTGAAACTACCAGCTGTTTCGCGAGAGAAAGATGAGGCTTTCTGCTCCTGTAAAGATTTACATCCTCAGAAACCCTGTCCAGGGTTGCAGTGAGTCGGAACTGACTCCACCAAACATAACCACCATTGAGGGATCATATATAATGGCAGCGTTTTTCAAAAGAGGAAAGACTCAACCTGCCAGCCCCCTGCTTCCTTCCCACTCTCTCCAATTCCATTTGAAACAAGTATCCAGTTGCTCCCTAAATCAGTGCTGCCAATTTTCAGCAGTTTAGAGAGTAAGTGTGTGTTTCAGGTAATTGAAACTCTTCCCCAAGGACACTGATCGAATCATCTAATTAGATGAGACATAAGAGCATGTGCAGAGAAAGTGAATGAGTAAACATACCCACAACTCATTTCCCAGTCAAGCAGCTGTGTGCCAGGCTGTACAGAAAGGGTCAGAAAGCCAGGGCAGGATGGGACAGTGGCCTCTTGAGCATCGGGTCATCCTGAGCAGGAGCCCACTGACAACATCTGTCAATGGGCAGCTCATAAATCCCATACCACGTCCCGGCCAGGCCACCACTGTTTACCACCTGCTGCCACAAGTTTGCCGCACCCCATGAAGGCCTGGCGTGGCAATGTAGGATGAGGACTGGACTGCTAACCACAATGTTCATGGTTCAAACCTACCAGTGATTCCTTGGAAACCCTCTACAGGGAGGCTAAGAGTCAGAACTGACTCAACAGCACACAACAAGCACAGCAAGAATTCTAGAAAAAACCAAACACCTTGCTGCTGTTGAGTAGATTCCCACTGTTGGCAACCCCATGTTTTACAAAGTAAACCTGTATTCATAAGGTTTTCTTGTTTTTCAAAGTTCTTATTGTGAAGTGAGTGATAGTTTACATGGGAGAACATCAGTTTTACACTCATCCTGTCGTATTTCCTTTCACTGCAATGATTACAATCCCCTCCATGCATCATCGTTAAACAGTACTTACTTCTATTCCCTCGGTTTGTTGTTTTGTTTTGATTTTTGGAGGATGTGCACAAAACACTCAGGAATATATAAGCATTTAAACAACCAAAGGGCACATTCTGCAAGCCTGCCTCCTGGCCACCAGCACACAGCCTTTCTCTTCCCATGAGTCTAGAGTCCTTAGCTGCTCCCTTCTCCATGTCCTCATCTCTGCCTCCATTTCTAGTGTTGCTGCTTCTCTGGATAGGGTCCCACATTCCACTCCTGCTTTTCTCCCTTGATGGTCTTAGGGTCCTCTAGAATGTTAGCTTAACTACTCCTCCCATTAGGTTACAAAACTTCTACGTTTACAGTTGTGACTGTTGCGTTAGTCATGATGACAATGACTCACTATTGAATCATAAGAATGTTATCCCCATCTTCTTTCACCAAACCGATCTAGACAAGATGCAAACTACTCAGTGGGGATCCTACCTTCTCCCGCACACTTTGAAACTAAACTCCCTCTTGAAAATGCATAAGCCAATCACTTCCTGCCTTTATCACCCCCTTTCCATAAGGTTTTCTTAACTGTAATATTTACCAGAGACTATTACCAGGACTTTCTTCCAACACTATTGAATGGAGTCAGACTATGAACCTTTAAGTGAATGAAGAGTCCAGCATAGTTTATTGCTACCCAAAAAGCCCCTCAGTCTGTGGAGAAGAAAAGAGGAGATGGTCACCAACATTACATGTGGCCCAGTTCCACTCTGAGTTCCTGTTGTCTTCACATCACATGTAACTTTTGCATTTAGAAATGTCAGATGAAATCTCTCCAAAAGAGGTTTCAATAGCAATAATTTATTGGGGCAATCTTTGAGTTACACCTTTGAGTTCTATGGTATGTGAGCGACATTCTTTGCAAGCCCTTCCTGTTTTACCTAGGAATGCATGGGGCCAGATCTCTGCTTTACTCCGCCTCACTTTACTGCACTCTGTGGATTTTGTGGTGTTTACAAAGGGAAGGTTTGTGGCAACCCTGTGCTGAGCAATTCTGTGGAGGACACTTTTCCAACAACATGTGCTCATTTCATGTCTCTGTGTTACATTTTGGTCACTTTCGTGCCGTTTCACACTTTTTCATGATGCCGTTATACTTGTAATCCACTGAAGTATAGTGTGAACATCTTTTATATGCCTGGTTGTAGCTGTTGTTATAAGTGTCTCTGAGTCAGTTCTTACTCATAATGACCCTTTAGACGGTTTCCAAGGCTGTACATCTTTGTGGGAGCAGAAAGCCTCATCTGGCTCCTGTGGAGCGGCTGGTGGGCTCAAACCACCAACTTTGTGGTTCACGATCCATTGCTTATCCTGCAAAGCTACCATGTTCGCTTTGTGTGCACTGGGAAAAGCAACGAAAAATGTGTGTGTGTGACTCACTTTATCATGAGATTTGCTTTATTGTGGTGGTCTGAAACTGAGCCTGCAATAGCACATGACTTCAAAAAGTTCCTTGGAAATTAATGATAAGATAATGGCATTTTTCCAAAGAACTTTTGAAGCCCCCTCACCTCTGTGAGGTATGTCTGTATCAAAAACTAAGAACTTTTCCCAGATAACTACCACCAGCTAAAATCAAGTCCATTCCAACTCTTGGCAGCCCCATGTGTGTCTGAGTGGAACTGTGTTTTTTTTAATGGCTAATCTTTCAGATGAAGAGCAGAGATGTCAGCTTGAGGACTAGGGTGCGCCTGACCCAGGCCATTGTGTTTTCAATAGCCTCATATGGATGCGAAAGCTGGACAGTGAACAAGGAGGATCGTAGAAGAATTGATGCCTTTGAGTTGTGGTGTTGGAGGAGAATACTGAGGGTGCCATGGACTGCCAAAAGAACCAATAGATCTGTTTTGGAAGAAGTGCAGCCAGAGTGCTCCTTGGAGGCCAGGATGGCTAGGCTTCGTCTCTCCTACTTTGGGCATGTAGTCCGGAGGAAACAGTCGTTGGAGAAGGATGTCATGCTGGGTAGGGTGGAGGGTCAGAGAAAAAGAGGAAGACCCCCAACGAGATGGATCGGCCAGGTGGCATCATTGATGGATTCGGGGGTGGCAGCGGTGGTGAGGTTGGCCCAGGATCGAGCATTGTTTCGTTCTGCTGTGCATGGAGTCGCTATGAGTCGGTTCCGACTCGATGGCACCTGACAACAACAACAACAACAATCTTTCAGAAGTGGATTGCCAGACCTTACTTCCAAGATACCTGTAGGAGAACTCGAACCTCCAATCATTAAGTTAGCAGCTGAGTCCATTCACTGTTTCAACCAGGACCTTCTTTCTTAGATCAGCTCCTTTAGCTGTTTTGTTTCCTAAGCAAAGACATTTTCCAATGAGATGAAGCAGCCCAGAGCAAAGCAACTGTATGCAGCTGATTTCTTGAGCGATGCTTTGGTTTCTCCACCCCTTGAGAACTGTGGCTGGTAGACTTCCTTCCTGCCCCAGGGAACACCATGCCCCAGCCCTTGGCTTTCATTAGTGAGGAAATTGAGGCCGCGGGGCTGACATCCACTCTCCTCCCCCTGACTGCCTGCTCCTTTCAGACACTTCAAGCACAGCTAGAAAGAGAAAGCCCAGTTTTATGATACTGGATTTAAAAGCTGTCTTTAAATCTGACCAAAACCAAAAATGTGTCTTGAACATCCTTCACCGATCTGAAATAAACTAACCGTCATCTAAGAAGTCATTGTTATCCTAAGCTCCCTGGAGGGTTCCATCTTGGCTGATCCATTTCATGGTCCCCGGGTCTGTAACATTTGGGATAATAACTCAAAGCCGTGTACTTGCTCTGGACACGTGCATGCAGGACCTGCCCTCAACACTGTGGGGAGTTGTCAGGCTGATGAATGGCCATGAAGGGTTTTTCTTGTAACGGTTTAAAAGTTGGCCTTTCTGTACCCCGGGCGCACATGTTTCTAGTGAGTGAAATGGCTTTGTTTCTTCTCATGATTTAATGGGGTGCCCCTTATAAGGCTGACTTAAACCATCTGGGCTATTTGGATTTAAGGTCGGGTGCTTCACACACTAATTTGGTCTGGGAAAGACACAAGAGCCAACACCTGTAGGATTGTCTGTCTGACTCAGCATGGCAGGTGCTCAGTCAGTGCTGGGACCAGGGGGTGACTGGCTCATTCCAGGAGTTCACCAGGTTCCATGTGTGGAATGTACTGGAAACCTGTGACTCTGGGGGTCAAGCAGCATGTCACAGATGAGCAGTTCAGTTTTCCACTGTGGCAACTGAAGATTATACTATGAATATACAGACACCACTCTCACACAACCAGCC